AGTCATAACCACCATTCATTCATTACTGATGTAATTGTGAATGAATGATCACAGGTAGAGGATTGTATAAATCCTTTATTATATACTAACAGTGCCTTCCTGAATATATTTTCTTTCAAGTTGGTGTTACTGATTATACTATTTTCATTAGAATTAATGATTGAGCGTTGTTATTGCTTGAAGCTTATTTTGATTTCTATTTTATATTCATTTGTATGAAGAAGTTTTATACTTTATGTCAGCAGTGAGGAAGGGGCGATAACAAATAAGGTACAGAAACAGGATTTGCATGGGCGTGCATCTGAGGGGAGAAATGACTAAATGGCTTGCCATACAAGCAGTCATTTTTTTACTTTTAAGCTTTATTTGATGTGAAAGCTACTATTTGAAAATATTTATTCCTCCCAAAATAAACCATAAAAACAAAAACAATTGGAAAGAATGGGCAGTATATAAAAAAATCATTATCTTGTCCATTAGGCAAGCTTCTTGACAATTTCTTTTGACAAAGATGTATTCATAAAGTTACAAGGAGTTTTGACTTCCTGGAAACCAGCATGATAAAACAAATTATCTTAAAGAAGGAAGGACAATCTGAAAGTGTGCTAGTGAATGTTTTAAAAATAGTCTCAACTTTTAAGGAAAATCAAAATCATTGTATGCATACCCTTAGCAACCCTCCACTCAAGTGTAAATTGTGTACTTATATGCATGCTATTCGTAGACAAAATAATCTGATTCTGTGCAATAGAGTTTTATTTATTTCATAAAGCAAAATATAGATATTCAGGTATAATAAACAACAAATAGAAGTAAAATGTGTGAAACTGTACAGATCATCTTTAATACTGGAATTTGCACAATAATGGGTTGCTATGATTCAGTTTTAAGCATTTTATAATTTATTATTTTTAAAAATACAGGATGTTAGGTACCGCATTCTTAACAACTGCCCTGGGTTTCCGATTGTCATAGCATTTTGCAGTCATGTGATTGTAATTTGCAACCTTTCCTACTGCTTCCCAGAAGCAAAGTAAATGGGAAAGCTGGCAGGAAGTCAGAAGTTGCAATCACTTCCTCACATAATGACTCATATAATCTTCGCTTAATGATGGTAAATGGGGACTGCTAGAACTGTTATTGTTAAAGTGGCATGGTCACTGATGGTGACTGATGCCAGGCCCTAAAAACTGGAAATCTGAATTTGAATAGAGTTCATGTTAATTGACTTCAGCTGTTTCTGTTCACTCCTTTCAATACAGCCTCTTTCTGAAGATAAAACGTTGATTTTAAATCAACTTAATTCTAACTGGTATGTATATGTTGTAAAGAAGTGGTCTTAGTTCCATATTCTTAAAAAAGATACATTTGTATATACACATATTAATGCAGATATACTGAACTATAATTTGATTTGATTTGAAATCCATTGGATTTCATTTCCTGTAACAAACTTTGCACATATTGTCACACTTCTAGAAGGACTACGTTGGCAAGGCTACTGTAATATATAGACTCCCCAACCTTTGTTCTTGAGATGTAAACTAAATTCCCACAATTCCTAACCAGTGTGGGCGTGGAGATATATTTGTATATACACATGGATATACAAATTTTAGTAAATAACTATAGCATGGTTGTCATAAATCTTCTAAACTTTCCTTAAGAATGCAATAGCCAAGATCCCACTCATTTCAAATTGCTTTATATCATAAGATAAACTTGTGAGCTATTACCTCCCCCCACCCAAATGTGTTAATGCACTATGCTCTTTTGTCTCTCTGTGAAAAGTACTGTTCTTTTTTGCCTTTCCTCTGACATCCTGGTTGCTATAGTGCAGTGATCTATTTATGAACACATAGGAGATTGTTGCTGTAGAGAAAATGTTTTCTGGTCATAACTTTGTGGATAATTCTTCTTAAAATGGATTATTATTGGATATCTAATTGATTATTTTTTCTGAAAGGCTGAAAAAGAATATATTGATTTTTTTTTAGTCTTTAATGACACGATAGCAGTGTTCCAATATTTGAGGGGCTGCCTCAAAGAAGAAAGGTCAATCTATTTTTCAAAACATCAGAAGGCAAAAGGCAGGACAAGAAGCAATGGATGCAAACTAATCATGGAGAGAACCAACTTAGAACTAAGATGAAATTTCCTGACAGTAAAATAATTAACCAGCGGAACAGCTTGCCTTTAGAAGTTGCGGGTGCTCCATCACTGGGGGTTTTAAGAAGAAATTGGACAGCCATTTGTCCAGAATGGGTGTCAAGCTCAATTTCATTGAGAGTCGCATCAGCATTATGGTTACCCTCAAAGGCCAGATGGGCGTGGCTGGGTAGGCATGACTGGGTGGTCACAGCTGGGTTGCAGTGATTAGGTAGGCATGGTTGTGTGGGCGTGACTGACTCGACGCCACTTGGTGCAGCTGACTTGATATGACCAGGTGGACAGGCTGAGTAGGCATGGCTGGGTAGGTGCAATCAGTCCAGCTCCACTGACTCGGGACAGCTGGGTCAACATGCAACAAGTTGCACCAGCTAACTCGTTGTGGGGACAACTCAGTGCCCCACAAGCTCCTCACTTCCCCAAACTGCTGCTAGCCAAGTGTGTGTTCATGTGCGTATGCACATGCACATACAATCCCCGCATTCCAAGTTTGAGGACTTTTATCCACAGAGGAAGGAGAGGTCCTTATTCTCAAGCCCAGGCATAATTGGCAGCTTGCCAACTCAGATGTGGGTAAAAGTCTCCAAGTCTGGAATGGTGTGTGGGTGCGTGAGCACACCAAAGTTCTTGGTTGAATTAGTAAGGTCTCTGGAGAGAAGGAGAGATGGCGAGGAGCTGCTTGAGGGAAGGCTGCCCCAACAGGCCAGCATCCTTCTCAAAATGATTCCCTTTTGAGAAGGGCCAGCCTTCCTCTTGCAGGACCAGGGAGCTTTGCTCCCCTGCCTCCTCTTCTTGTTCTTCAGAGATCTGTCAAGGCAGAAGTTTGATTCTTTACTTCCATACGCAGCAGCATCACCTTCCACCTCCTGCTTTGCCAGGAGGGGGCACCAGACAGGGAAACGCCAATGCTCAGATGTCTGGGATTGGGAGAAGAAGGTCTCCTTTGGCGTGCTGTGTGCACACACATACATGCCATTCCCAGTTTGGAGACTTTTATCCACATCTGAGCTGGCAAGCTGCAATCATGCCTGGGCTTGGGGAGAAGGACTTCTCCTTCTTCTGTTGATAAAAGTCGCCAAATTTGGAGTTCAAGGTGTATATGTATTTGTGTGTATGCCGCTGTTTGGCAGTTTGGGGAGGCGAGTTTGTGGGACGCTGAGTTGTCCCCATATCGAGTTAGCTGGTGCGACTTGTTCCATGCTGACCCAGCTGTCCTGAGTCAATGGGGCCGGGCCGGCTGCACCTACCTGGCCATGCCTACCCAGCCACTGTGAGTTGTAATAAACCCATGCCCGCCCGCCCTTGCGCTTACTGCTGCCACACAGCACCACATGTTGGAGAGGCTTCTGTAGTCTGTCCTCTGCTAGTGCTGCTGCCACTGACAAGACACCTGAAGAAGCGAGAAGGTAACTACTCAATCACCTTCTCCTACTAGTCTGCTTACGGGCCAGATCTAAACACATCATGGGCCTTGAGTTTGACATGTCTGATATAGGGTCTCCTGCTTGAGCAAGGGGTTGGACTAAAAGAAATGCAAGTTTCCTTCCAACTCTGTTATTCTGTATTCTTATATTGGAGATGGTTACCAGCATCAAATTCCTGGGTGAGCAGTTAACAAGTAGGCTGGCTTGGTCGCTCAACAGCGAGACACTGGTGAAGCGGGAACAGCAGTGCCTGCATTTTCTGTGTCACATGAGAAAAGCACATCTTTCTTTCCCTGTCTTTACCACTTTCTATAGAGGGATGATTGAGAGCATCCTGTCATACAGCATCACAGTCTGGTTTGGAAGCATCACTACTTCAGAGGTGGTGAGAATGGCCGAAAAGATCATTGGCAGTTCCCTCCCTTCCATCCAGGACATAGCACATAAGCGTTGCTTGAGCAGGGTCTGCAAGATTGTCTGGGACACTACACATCCTCTTCATGACCTGTTTTCCTTGTTACCTTCTGGAAGGAGGCTTCGTGGTATCCGTAGCAGAACATCCAGATTCATCCATAGTTTCATTCCATACAGCATTAACCTTGTGAACTCTCAAGCTTCCTCCTTCCATTATATATTCAAGATGGGCAGTGTTTAATATTTATATGTTACTTATATGTAAGGGTATAGGTCTATACATATGTTTATATAGAATGTTTAAATGTGTGTTATGTATGTGTACACTTTGAGAGCAAGCTACTAAATTTCATTTTTAATGTGTGCCATTGTGCCCACAGTAAAAAATGACAATAAAGGTTTGTCTGTCTGTCTGTCTGTCTGTCTGTCTGCCTACCTACCTACCTACCTACCTACCTACCTACCTACCTTGTCCTGTCCTGTCCTGTCCTGTTACTTTACTGATGGAGATAACAGTGCAGTGATTGCAGAGAATAGTTTGTGGGTTTGCTTGCAGAGATGCTGATGTATAGTGAAAATCAACTTCCAACTAGTTAGAGCTCTGCTCAAGTTAAGTCAGCTACTTCTAAGTGTGAGGAACATGTCCAAGAGCTCTCCCATCAGAAGAAAAAACTGTGTGACATCACTTTAGGTTTATCAACAAGTCCACAAGATCATCAGAGTACAAGATGAAGCAGCTAAAGATGGATAGTTTAGTCTTTTACTAGTGATAATAGAATAATTCAGATCATTTCTCCATTAAAAAAACTATTTCATGATTACCAAAGTATATTCTAATATTTCAGTCATCTTCTAAGTAGATTGATTTGTATCATAGTGTGTGGTATATACAATTGAATTTTCAAGATTTAACCTGTACATTTACACACCTGTAATATGGATGATTTTGTTTGAATTTATTTTAAATGATACTATTATCTTTTCTCCCTCTAGCTGTGAAAGAGAGATTGTAACCTATAAGATATTCCAATTCACTACTTTTGAAGAAGACCGGTGACAGAATATGCCTCCTCCTGCAAATATTGTGAAAGTAGCTATAGAGTGGCCTGGTGCCTTTCCAAAGTTGATGGAAATTGACCAAGTAAGTGCTTATTTCTATGTATTATTTCTAAAAGCCTTTCTACTTTTAGACTAACAATTGTTAATGTTTGTTATACAGTATCTTATGTAGTCTTATAATAAGTCAACTGTGGAACCTTCTGTAAGAATCTTTTACCTACACAAAAGGTTTGCATAGATTTTGCATAAAGATAACACTAAATGGGACTGAAATTGCTGCCAGTAAGTGATCGGTCATTATGCAAAACATCATATGATATTTCCATTTAGTGAGGCAGTTCCAACTGGGTTGTTAGGTCAAGACCTCATGTTTCTACTATCCTGCCTTGCCAACCTATGTTTCAACCCCCCCCCCCTTTTTCTATCTTCTCCCGTCTCTGCCCTTTTGGTTGCCTGCACACCACTCCTCTGACCCCTCCAGTTAATTTTCAGGGTCTTCCTCCAGCCCCTGAAAAGACACATTTGGTCTGACCCTGTCTTGTCAGCAGTGGGAAAAGAATATTTATTTATTTATTTTTATTTATTTACATAAACTTATATGCCGCCCTTCTCCCTATAGGACTCAGGGCGGCTTACAGCATATTAAAACACACAAACGCCATCCCCCATAAAACCAATTAAAAACCAAATATTTGTCGCTGTATAGTTATTAAGATTCGAATTAAAATTGTCCCTATTTAAAATTCTCCCTAGGCCAGACCCGCTTGTTGAAA